CGTACTACTACTACTACTACTACTACTACTACTACTACTACTACTACTACTCTACTACTACTACTCTACTACTCTACTACTCTCTACTCTCTCTCTCTCTCTCTCTCTCTCTCTCTCTCTCTCTCTCTCTCTCTCTCTCTCTCTCTCTCTCTCTCTCTCTCTCTCTCTCAAGTACAAGCTGCTCTATCTCCCCTTAACCCACTACTGAGCAATAATCTCAGACCCCCTGTTTCAATAAAATAGGGAAAGCTATCTTTCCACACTATAGTGTGTCTTCACAATATCTTTCATTATCTCAATCCATGGCCAACAAACTAGGGCACAACCACCAATGCTTTCTCGCGCTCCTCAACCCTTCGTATCATATCTAAGAGCAATTAAGGGGGTAAATTAGCCCATTGACTGTCAGCTAATTCGGCTCCTTAGGCTGCAAGACAAGCCAAATCCCTCCTCTCTCAAGCTCTCTAATTTCTCCTCTCTCTCTAAATCCCATTCCCCCAGGGATGCATTGGCAACACACATCTATCTTCGTCTCCCCCTTATTGGGAATGAAAGTCAAAGATCTATCTCTCCATCATTGGACTGAAATGTACAGCATTCCTTGTCTCTTTCATCTTAGGTCTCCCTGGCTTGGGTTTCTCACTACATATTTAGTGTCATCCTCCCATTATTTTTCTTCATCTACTGGTTAGAGAGAAGGTAAGGAGAGAGAGGAGAATCCACTTATCTGAGAGAGAAGTTGGAAAGGACGCATGAGAAATTAGAGAAAGGGATGGGAGAGGTTAGAGAGACTTCAGAGTGCAACTCTCTATCTTGTAAGAAAAGGTCAAGTCAATAAAAAAATCTATTATGCCACAGTTACATGCATCAACTCTTTTGTAATATAGCTAGAAATATTTATGTTTATTAAGAATAAAGTAGACACATGTTTTACTGTAAAAATCCCTGAAGTAAAAACAGCCTTCCAAAAAGATAAAACTCATATGTAAAAATGCATATAAGTTTGGGTGGTGATCTAATGCAACAGTTGTATCATAATATAATGCAACCACACTTCTAGAAAACCATGTTTGTGGTATTTGTATGCACACACACTCTCTTCATGTGAATAATCAGTCCCAAAAAAAAAAAAAAAGTTCAATTTGAATCCTAGATATAGTGAAAATGAATCCTCTCCAACAACGAATCTAGACCATTCATTTTGTGAATTTCAAGATCTTAGCCTTTACAAACTCAAAATCATTTTTTCCTTTTTTAACATTGTTCATCTAATGATAATAAAGTCATCTGAAAAAATTGGACAAGAAAAAATCCTCCTAAGGCCTACATCTAAGCTTCTTATCAAAATAGACGGTCTATGTTAATTGGGCTAAAACAACACTTTCGAGGTTGTGTTTTCAATTTTTTAATTTTTGTTATTGTTCATTAGAATGAAAAGGGTGTATATTCTAAATTTTGGATCAAATAAACGACCCTAACATGGTTTTTGAAGATTGTTGAATTATATTGCAATACAATTGTTGCATGAAATCATTGTCTCCGATAATTTTATGAGGGACCATGCAATTGAAACAGTGAATTATCAATGATAACAAGTACAACCACGCAAAACCAAATAGTCTAATATTAATGTAGTGATCTTTACAAAATCCAAACTGCAAAATGGCAGATGCCAACTTATCATCTCAAAGGAACTCCAGCACTCAAAAGTAAACGAGCCACATGTTAAGCTCATTACCATTATGTCAAGCGTATACAGTGTGCTGTGTACGACCCCCAAAACATACAGAGCCACTCTTACTGAAACAAATTAGCAGCAGTCAAATTGGCTGTAGCATTGTCTACTACTACCTGAATTGCATGCTATTCCCCAACCTCATCCATACCCTTAATGAACCAAAAACAAAATCTAACATGCATCATGTCCTTCATCAAGTGCATTAACGGACAATGAAAATAGTCAATAAAAACCAATTCAACATCAAATCATCACACTCCTATTCCTATCCCTCCTTGTATCAATCATAATTGTGACTCCATACTAGACCCCTACACCCTTATAGGTCATGGCCTTTATGAGCTTACCTCCTTCCAAAGCAATGGCTCCTTAAGGTCATATCGGATTGGGCCCTTAAACCTGGCTCAAATTACCAATTACTTCAAAAATTGTACGAAAGTAGCATATGCAAGCCGCATTTAAAGTAATACCCACCTGACATACTGATTACTAAATAACACAAGTCGATCTTCCTTTCTAGTGTTACTTGCCTTTTTCTCTTTATCTACTGCAACTTCGAGATTTGGGGACCAAAGGCATCCATTGGCCCCTACATATGAGGCAGCGCCAACCGCAATTCCCTCTTACAACTTCAAGATGAATCGACTTCTATTTCCCCTGGATCATCATCATCCCCATAATCAAGAAAAACATTTACGCATGCCCACAACTCTGTGATACTTACCTCTTTTCACGCCTTATTCTTTTTTTCCACATCTAAAGAGTCAAGAATATCCTTCCTAACCTTTCTCTAAACGTCCCTACATGGGGCAACATACCCCCTTAATACCAAGCAAGTGTTACTTAAATCTCTTAGTCCCTGCATTTGTAACTTCACAAAATTTACACTAGATTTTTTTCTTATCATTTTTATCTAGGCAACATTATTTGCATCCACGTCTCCACTCCAATTAGAAATCATGGAAGATATTTGGAGAAAAGAATGACCACTCCTAAACAGGGGGGGGGAAGGGCTCCTCTCAAAAGAGAGAACATTTAAAGAAAAGGAAGATATCTCAAAAATGAAGATAAAAAACTAACCTTTGTTGTGCTTTGATCTTCAAAGTTTTGGATGACTATGAATCTCTGAATCATCCTATAGTTCCCCATGTAACTTCGTGGCTCACAATGAATCCAATAAAAATAAATAAATAAAGTTTGAGATGAATTCTCAAACTTGTCAAATATCCAAATCTCAAAAAAACTTGATAAAATCTTGACTCTGTGAAGATTTCAAAAGCACACATTACTTGCCCTAGGGCATTTACCACCTAGGGTTTGCCCCATAGGCATAAGGGGAAACCACCTAAGAGGAAAGCGGCCCATTTTTTTCTTCCACTCAAAAGTGGGTGGATGCTTCTATATATAGAATACACTTATGAAGTACATCCATCCTACATGAAGGTTAAATAATCTATCTCGTCCAACTAAAGTGGAGGCATAGGACACCACCACCTTACTTCTACAAGTAACGTTGTCACCTTATATAAACCACACCATATGCACACACACGAACCACACAAAAGCAAGGTTAAAGAAAGGCCTAAGTATCTTGGGTATTGTAGTTAGAGAGAGAGAGAGTGTGTGTGTGGGCCACAGAAAGACGAAGACTAAGAGGAAGGGATGGGAAATAAAATGATGAAAAAAAGTAATATAACCAATACTCAAAAAGTTGATCGCCCGACCGCCTAGGCAGCCGCCAAGGCGGCTATTTTCAAAAAATGCCAAAACGTTCTTAAGGCGGGACTAATTAGGTGCCAAAACTAGGCAGTCTTAGGAAGTCAATAAGGCGAAACTAGGCGCCCGCCTAAGCAGCACGCAGGGCTTTGGCAGAAATTGTTTTTTGGGTGGGGGAAAAAAAGACATTTTACCCCCTTAAAAGGGGGGATAAGGGTTTGGGGAATCATTCTTGCCCCCGAAAACAAATTTAGTGAACTTTAGAGAGATAAATAACTTGAAAAAAAACTAGAATTGAAGATTTTTTAAGAGATCAAATTTTTTTCCGAAATCATAGAAAGCTCACGATATTAAAGGATATTCAACCCCAATCGTTTTTAGGCTTATAAGGGTTGTAAAAGAGGAGATTAGGGATGCCAAACATTTCAGTTTGACCCAAAATCGAGTCCACTTCAAGAAGGGGTATATTTCAAGAGTTTTCATTATGTTTTGTATTTTTTTACATTAATGTCTAATGATGCTATTGTTTGCTATTTGTAATTTTTCTTAGATACTTTGTGATATATATTTGTTATGTTATTGTCTATTTAGAATCTTGAATTATTATCTTATTAATTAGTTTAATAATTGATTAATTCTTAAGTGTTCATTAAATAATTGTTCGTGCAATGTGTTTTATCTTTTAATGTTCATTTTGAGTTATAATCATTATTTCAAAAAGCGCTAGGCAGCACCGAGACGGCCATTGGAGTCCAAGTCGTCCATCGCCTAGGCGAGAGCCCAACACCAGGGCAGCCCAGTTGAAAAAAGGAAGAAAAAGATAATCTGATTCTGATAATCCATAAGAATTTTAATAATTCATAAGACCATAATCCAAAAGAATTTTGATAATCCATAAAACAATAATCCCACTTGAAAAAAAAAAAAGTTTGAGAATTTTGATAATCCATAAGACCATAATCCATATTTTCATACAATGATAAAACCCTAAAATAGTAAAAGCATACAAGCATACGCAGATAGTCTAATACACTATGAGTGTACACACAAAAGTAAGATAGTAGAACTAGAAAATAGAAAGTGGAAACTAAAAATACGAAAAATAAAATCCATAGAAATTCAAAAAATATACAGACTACAGTCTAGGACACAATAGTCAACACTCAACAATCAACACACAACACTTAGTGTCTTCAATCATCATCATCAAAAGGAATAGGGTAAGCCGCATCATATGCATCAGATTCGAGGCCATTATCATCAGTCGTCTCCGTCTTCAATATAATGCTTGTCTTCCTCCGTTTTTTTTGAATCTGCATCTTCCTCCTCTTCTTCTACCTCCTTATTACCAGCAGGTGCAGATGAGGCCCTAGGAGTCTTGGTTGCTCTACCTTTTCATCTTTTTGTGCTCCCCTGAATTCAAATATTGCATATTCTTCTCCCTGGCAGCCTCAAGAACATTTTTACACGAGGCAACATCCCTTTTAATACTGGCAAGGTGTTTTTTAAACCGGTAAATGCCCCCATTAATATCTTTTTTAAGATAATTACATTTAATACGATTTTTGTCATTCGAATTCGGGTTATAACTACACTTCCCAACTGGATCACCACTTCTAAAAAAACCTGGAGTAGATATTTCCATCGAACAAGCCTCATTTTCATCATTTTCTGGTTCTTTTAAATTCATAAATTATCTATTCTCATCCCGAATAGCTTCAGGAACCATTTTACAATAAGCAACATTTCTTTTAATACTAGCAAAGTGTTTCTTGAATCGGTCAATAGCCCGATTGGTATCTTTTTCATAGAAATTACACCTTATACAACTTTTATGGTTTGGTTTTGGGTTATAGCTATACTTTCAACCCGGATCACTTCTTCTAGAAGAAACCGAAATAGAACCATACAAATGACAAGGATTTTGTTCCGATTTTTCTTTACAAAACTCATATATTGCTTTATCTCCTCTCTGATAACTTCAGGAACATTTTTACATGGAGCAACACCCCCCTTAATACCGGCAAGATATTTCTTAAACCAGTTTATGCCCCCTTTTATATCTTTTTCTCTGGCCGCTGCGCTTTGTTGAACGAAAGTTATAATTATTTCATTTACAATCCAAAGTTGTTAATGTTTAGGTTTGATTTGTGCGCTTCTGGCAACTAAACAATATAAAACAGACAATTTTATATATCATAAAATGGGGGGAGGTGTGGGGGATCCAAATTTAAAGAAAAATAAAAAAAACAAAACAAAAACAAATTAACGGGTATTTTGGGTCTGAGACCCTGCCTTGGCAGCCACCTTATCCCCAAGGCGGCCCAGCCCCCTCACCGCCTAGGCGGCCGCCTACACCATACTGAACATTGGATATAACCAATTTTCTTAAAATAGTGAGATGAAAATGTATATGACATGTTTCTTTATTTTAAACTTGAGAATCTTTTTCTCCTAGAAAAAAGATTTCATGTGGTTGTTCTCCTAGAAAGGCCTACATTATATCAAGTTATGCAACATAATACATATGCATCAAATATCTGCAAATTAGAAATAACTCCCAAGAATATTACCACTCACCCGTCTCCCTGCAAAATGTCATTACTTTGTTTTTCAACGAGCACATCAATTGCATCCAGAGCATCAATCACCTGACAGAAGAATAATGCATTAATAACCAAACTCATTCTAAATGTTAACACCCCTTTTCTAATTGATAATCTTAAACATACCAATAGAACAATCTTAAAAGATTCAAGTAGAACATTCCCAAAATATTAAAAATTAAAATATCATGTCCAAAAAGTTAAAATGAGCAAAACAGATTACAGAATGTACCTTTAATTATAATAGTACAATGAGGCCCTCTAATGTCAACCTTTTTGTCAAAGACTTGTAACTAATATTGACTAGCAAGAGGCATGTGCAATGCGTGTTTTCAATGCACTTATAATTACTTCAATCACGATCACGAAAGGAAAATACGTATAACTTTCATTCAAAATCCCTAAAATTGGAGGATTAGAAATAAGACTTTGAATCTAGTAAATAATCTTCAAGATAAAGAATTTCTCCTTACATCCGAAGGATAATTTCCTTTTCCAATTAAACATCCTATTATATATTCCCAAAAAGAATTACCAACAAAGGCATTTTGCTAGAGATCATAGAACAAGTAGCCACAAGTATCTTCTATAGGAGCGACAGATTCCTCCTAATTTTCACTCATATTCGGAGGATGAAAACCCAATGAGGGATTCCAAGAACAATAAGAGCAAGAAATAGTTTTGGTGTTTTTTTTAGTATTTAAAACTATTTTAGATGTTTTTTATTTATTTATTTCATTGTTAGACCAATTAAGGA